GAGAAAAATGTGAGGGGGCATCACATCTAAATCGCAATTCTAGATGCTCGAAAAATCTCACAAGTCTTCTTTCATTTCTCGATGAACATTTCAAATGGTCCTATCTGCTTTGATCGATTCTCTTCATCGACTTTCTCTTTTGATAACCACGCCTACGCAAATGCATTTCGTGCTACTTTTGCCACACAGTTTATTTATTTATTTGTCGTCAATCAGTGTAGACCGTTTTACAATTGTTGTCTTAAGTGCTATTTTTACAATTTTGTCTTTGTTTATATTTTTTATAATATGTCTTAAGAAAAAGTTAAAACATTACTTCTAGTTGACGTTATACGACGAATTAAAATATTGCTTTAATTTAGTTTTTGTCATTGTAAAGTCAATGTTATCGCAGTGCTTATTATATGTATCCATCATTTGGTTCAAGGGTCCAAATTTGGCATAATTCGTACGATGACGATTTGTAGCAAATATATTTCTGTTTCGTAAATGCCTAGATGGTGTATATAAATTTAAGGATGAAAATAGTTCTATTGAATCAATTCGATGTGATACGATATCGTTTACGAAAGAAATCATAGCAAATTCACGACGTTCTTTTAATGTTTGGATATTTATGAGCATACACCGAGCTGTGTAAGATGGCAGAGGAAATACAGTCCAACCTAACTTGCGGAGTGCATACAATAGAAACTGCTTTTGAACGGACTCTATTCTTTCTTCGTGTGTGATTGAAAAAGGTGACCAAACTATGCTGCAATATTCTAATACCGATCTTACATAAGCAATGTACAATGTTTTTATCGTATACGGATCGTGAAAGTTATAGCAGAAACGTTTTATGAAACCAAGCAAGTTGTTAGCTCTGTTAATAATTGTATTATAATGATCGATGAAAGTAAGTTTTGAGTCCAAAATAACACCTAGATCCCTGACTCTATCACACTTTTCTACGTTCTGGTTTACTAAAGTGATTGTTATATCGGGTAGCTTTTGTTTTCTACTAATGGTAATGGAGTTACATTTTTTTATATTTAATTGTAGCAGGCTTTTTTGACACCAAGTATGGAATATTTGAATTTCCTCTTTGAATGTGATGATGTCTTTGGCATCTTTTATTTCCAAAAAAAGTTTAATGTCGTCAGCATATATTAAAACTTTCAATTTCTTAATAATGAAAGATATGTCATTGACGAAGAGAATAAATAAAAGTGGTCCTAAATGGAAGCCTTGAGGAACTCCTGAAGTGACATCAACGGGATTTGATATCTTTCCTTTGTATTTTACTATTTGATGGCGGTCAGTTAAATATGATTCAAGCCACTTGAGGAGTGCGTAATGAATTCCCATTTTTTGAAGTTTAAAAAGAAGCATGGGTATGTCAATTCGATCAAACGCTTTGCTGAAATCTGTATACAACACTTCTACATGGTTTCCGTTATCCATTGCATTCAACGAATAATTAATTAATTCGAGCAAATTCGTAGTTGTTGAACGGCCTTTAAAGAAGCCATGTTGCATAGTAGTTATTCTGTTTTTAATTTGAAGAAAGAGTTTTTCATTTACAATCGCCTCGAAAAGTTTCGGAATGCAAGAGATAATAGCTATACCACGATAATTTCGTATGTCGGATTTTTTACCCGATTTAAAGATAGGCACTAAAAACGAGTTTTTCCATATTTTAGGGAAGTTTCCGGATTCCAGTGACATATTGAAAATCCAAAATAATGGAGCAGTAAGTTCAATTGCTAAAGTTTTCATAAAAACTGGCGGAACACCGTCAGGGCCAGGACCTTTAGATGCATCTAAATTGTTTAAACCCTTTAAGATATCATGAACCTTGATTTGACTTACGCTGATGTCACTTGAAAATTCTGGATATGATTCAAAATATTCACGGTCACGGTCCTCTTCTGAAAACGTAGTATATATTTCTTGGAAGAAATTTGCAAACAAATTGCATATATCATCCGAGTTCTCACCTATCCTATCGTCCAAATGCATCTTTGAGGGAAAAATTATCAAATTTTAATTTGGTTTTCACATAATTGAAGAAGTTTCTAGGACAAGATTTTATTTCAAGTTCAGTTTTTAAATTATACTCCTCAAATGCCATATTCACGGCCAAATTTAACTGATCGCAAATGTCTAAATAGTATGCCAAAGTTTCTTCACTATTATATTTTTTATAAATTTGATAGCAGAAATTTCTATCTTGTGCTTAGAACGTTGAACACAGCAGGGAATGCTGTTGAAGTTGAGTTATTAACGGAAGAGAAAGTCGAAGAAGAGAATCGATCAATGCAGATAGGACCTTTTGAAATGTTTATCTAGTTTTCTCGCATATTCTTGTATCGTTCATCATCGTCGAATCGTCGTCAAGCAGAACGCTAGACCACAGAGAACAGACGTCCAAGTTCGGTGAGAAACTTGTGTAAAGTTAAGTGGAAACGTCGCCGTTACGTAGCGCTAGCATCTCTTGCTTTCCTCTATAAATTTTCCACTTTCGACCAATTTGGCGCTAGCATCGATAAATTATCTGTTGAAAATTGCCACTTGGCGCTACCAGCACTTAGTGTCTAGTGTAAGTTGTGCAACGCCAGCGCCATCAGTCTGTGGCTAGACTGAGAAAAATTTCGATCGATTTTCCTCATATTCAATCAGTTTTTTTTTTCGGAACAGTGAGGAAAATTTTACTCACTCACTGAGTAACTCCACCGATTGAATCAACTCAAATGTGAGTTTCGTTCACTCAAATTCGTAAAAACGTAGGTTATTCATAGACAAAGTAAAATTTTCCTCCATTTTCCAGGAAAAACTTTTCGAATACAGTACCCGTTTTGTATTTTCATGGGGTTCGATATTGGTACCTTGCCAAAATCGAACGAATTTTGAAAATAATAAAGTCTGTTCCATTTAGAATTTGGCCGCACAAAATAGGTCATTTCTCCAAGGGGAAATAAGGTACAAAACGCTTAAGGTATCATTTTGTAGGATTTGCATTTAGCTTTAAGGGAAAAATACCACAAGAAATATTCGTCGGATTTTCGGATGAATGTTCGAATTTTTCGCGGAATACCTCTCATTATGTCTTGCACAACCTCATCTACTATCCTTTTCCACCACTTCTCTAAATCAGTTGGTGTGTTGATTGTTTTGCCCCTTTTCTCCATGGGACGAAAACCTGGACAATTTGGTGGATTGATACTTTTCTCAATAAAATCGACATTATTCTGCTTATACCATTCTATTACATCGCGGCTGCAATGGCAACTGGCTAAGTCAGGCCAAAACTTTACAGGACCTTCGTGCGATTGAATGAACGGCAAAATTATGTTGTGGAGACACTCCTCCTTGTAAAGTTGTCCATTCCTAGTCGCCCCAGTGATGAAAACCTTTGTTTTCTTTCCGCAACTGCAGATGCCTTGCCAAATCATCAACATGCGAGCGCATTTACCTGCAAACACAAATTTGAATTTATCAAGAGCATCCCCCTTACGTTTGGCAAAGTAAAAATTTTGGCCCGGGATTTGTCCAAAGTCCATTTTTAAGGTAAGTTTCATCGTCTATCAAAATACATCCGTTATACTTGGTCAGAACTTGCTCGTACAGCTTCCTTGCACGGTTTTTGGCAACCAGGTTTTGTTTCAGCGTCCTGTTGGGATGTTTGCTGGCATGGTACGACCGGAAACCTTCTCGCAAACAGATTCGTACTGTGTGCCGCACTGAACCTTTTCGCCAAATCACGACCGGAGATCCCAGGATTCTTTTGGACTGCCCTTATGACCTTCGCTCGTAGTTTTCGGTCATATGTTCCACTTCTACGTTTATTTTGTTTTGCACGATCCAACATTAGTGTTTCCCGGTAACGTTTAAGCACGGTATTTACAGTCGATTTTGGAAATTTGAGTGCCTTTGCCATCATTCCTCCTGACCACGTTGGATTTTGCACGTGAGTGTGCAGAATTTTCCACGTCTGTCACGTTCCATCTTCGATAACTTTTGAACAAGTATATGAATCCTGATGAAATTTTCACTACTAAATATACAATCTTTCCGGATTAAAAACGCTGTCAATAGTTTCTTGCTACGACAACTAGAGGCGCTACAGTAATTAAAAGTGGCCAAAGCATAAAAAGAAGCGGCCAAATGCTAACTCGAACCGGCTTTATATTTTTGCTCCTGATGATTACAATTGGGTTCTTTAGTTTTGAAAAATATATCGGTTTTTATATATCATCTGAAAGAGCTTCGTTTTCTGAGCACAGCGATATTTTTTTCAACCCCATGCACTTTCATCTCGATTTTTAAATCATGATTTAAAGCAAAATAATAACTTCACTGTTTGACACTAAACTGACAAACTGACAGCTCGCTCCCATACAAAGTGACACCAAGGGGCGCTAATTAGGTGATTTTTGCAAATGTATTCGTACTTATTTAAAGTAGTTCCAGTGTACCAAAATTGATGAAATTTTGGATTTGGGTTCCATTTTTAATGCAGATTACGAATATGCATTTACCTCAATACCCTTAAAGAACCCAATTCTTAAATAAAAGATTAATTGAATAACATCTTTATCATAAAGACGACTCACAGTGGTCCAAAATCAACTATTTCATAGATAAAATTTAAAAATAAAACCGTTCGATTTCGCACGGTTCGATTTAGGCAGCACTAAATTTTCGGACTTGTTGCCAAAATCGAACGGGTACTGTATGTGGAAAATTTTCCTCGACTGAGTTAAGTTTTTGTCGATTTTCGTCAATGTCGTTTCGTCAAGACGATTTACGAGTAAAAGCGAGGAAAATTTTACTCACTCTATGAGTTTTAGCGATTTTAAGTTAAAAACCACTCTATTTCGAGTCGATCTCATCGGCCGTGAGTTTATCAAGCAACATAGACACCAACCCGATTGCAGCGCCACTCGGTGGCGAACATCGGCAAACCAGATGGATAAAAAGCTAACGTGACTTTCTTACTCTCTTCTCTTCGGCAGATTCTGTACGGTCCCGATGGGCAGTTGCTCAAACCGGAATCACGTCGTGGTCGCGGCAAGGGACGATCCTCGAAGACCACCAAGGCTGATGCCGCTGCCAGTGGGGGCGCTACCACCGATGCCAATGGAGCGGTAAGTTCAAAAATATGTTTTTCTGTACCTTGTCATCTAGGGTGGGGCACCATTTCAGCATACCTAAGTTGACTTTGGCTCGCCCCTCCCATAAATCAGTCTTCCGACTGCAGCATTCACGATTTAACTTTTGAGCAAAGAATTTGATGCATGAATGTTGGATGTAGCTGTTTGTTTCATTGCTTTTGTCGCGTATGACGGAAATGAGTCCCATATGCTGAAATAGTACTCAATCCTATAAGCGAATTTGTTTTCAAACGAACTTTTTGTCAGTGCGAACCTCCACCGGAGTAGGTTACGAAAACAAACATCAAACTGACGTTTGCCTGAATACAAGCGAACGCTTATTTTGATACCCGATCCAGGTTGGAACTTAATCAAAAACAAATTCGGTATATGTAATATTGGTAGATTGCTACTTAGGGTTTTAGCTTGGTAGTGTAGAACATAAAAGATCTGGTAGCAGATTGGGAGGTAGTGTAGTGATTCTAAATAAAACGTGTAGCATGATTTTTTGTTTGGTTTTAAAAATAGAAGCATTGACTGTTATGTCGCCGATTCTTTTTGTGGGACTAGCAGTAAAACGCACCATTCTCGGATAATTTTTAAATAGGTATTATCTCCTTTTGTCGATCAAAAAATCTACTAAAGTCTCTGAGAAAAAACAACTGTTGAAAATAATGTTTCGAAATTAGATCAAACTTCCAAACCCTTTTGGAAGATCGCAAAAATTTTGAAAAACCTCAAAAGTCTATTCCAGCGCTTAAAAAAGGGTGGTCAAATTTTGATCACAAATTCGGAAAATGCGCAGAAACTTGCAAAGTAATTCGAGAGTTTCCATAATTTTAGTTTGGGTCTTACTAGTCCTATTAGGAATCAGGTTGCTCGGGATTATCTGAATATTTTCGCTCGGGAAAATATTTTTGATGATTCCTGGGGGACTGATTTGGATGCAGTAAGATCTATAACTAAAAAGTTTAAAAATATGAAAGCTTCAGGTGATGATGGAATTTTCTATATCCTCATCGCATTCAACTACTCATCAACTCTTAAGAGTTACCAATTTAATTCTTTCTAACAAAGTTGAAGGCTGCTCGACTGGAGCTGTTCTTCTAGGCATAGAAAAAGCATTCGACAGTGTTTGTCATGAAGGTTTGATTGCCAAATTGAAAAAGTTTATTTATCCACTCTATATTATGAAATTAGTTCAAAATTATTCAACTGACAGAACTCTGCAGATAAATTATCAAAATTCCTTATCTGAATGACTACCTGTTAGAGCTGGAGTTCCTCAGGGTAGCATTCTTGGGTCTATATTATATAAAGTCTTCGTGTTATTTGGAAGACCAGAAAACTAAGGAGCACTAGGAGCAGTTTCGTGAATTTTCCACTTTAAAGGATCTTCCGGAGGACGGAGGACTGGATCCATGTTTATGTCACGATCCAAAATTCATTCTATCATCACAGTTCTAAGTGTTTTTCAAAAACTGCGGAGCGCTAGGATCAGTTTCATTGAGTGACCACTTTTACGGATGTTTCGGATCTTCTGGAGGACGGTCCCATGGACATCCAGGTCCATGTTTATGTCACAACCTCACATTATTTCTATCATCACAGTTCGTAATGTTAAAAAAAAAACACGGAGCTCTAGGATCAGGATCGTGGATTTACCACTCTTACGGATGTTCCGGATCTTCCGCTGCACGGTCCGATGGCCATCTCCCATGTCCCAAATTCATTCTTATATCACAGTTCCTAATGTAAAAAAAATGTGGAGGTCTAGGATCAGTTTCCTGGATTGTTCACTTTTACGGATGTTCTGGATCTTCCGGGGGACGGTCCCATGGCCATCCAGGTCCATGTATATGTCACGACTCCAAATACCTTTTTATATCACAGTTCCTTATGTTAAAAAAAAAAAAAAACCGCGGGGCTCTAGGATCAGATTCATGGATTGACCACTTTTACGGATGATCGGGATTTTTCGAGGACCGTTCCGTTGTCTCCAGGATCCATATATTGGAACCATGACTGTATTCTGGATAGTTGTGAACATTTGTGCCCATTAATCTAAATTACAGATATTGCGCCACTTGCAAAACCCTTTAAACACACCTTTCAAAAAAATGTGTAACGAATCTTTTCGCTTTTCAAGAAAGTAGACGACTCTATTTTCAATTGTTTTCTAATCAAAATAATCTACATACCCTAGGAATTCTAAAGGTATCACAATTTTTGAAATTGATTAAGGAATGGCTAAGTTATACCTTTGCTAACTTGCTGTTACACGTTTTTTTGTAGGGATCGTAGTCGGCGTAAAGTTTTTTACCCGCCGTATTCGGAGCGTTAATGGGTGTATTCACTTTTCCCCTAAATGGGTGAAATTGTACTCCCTAATGGGTACCCTTAAGTTACAGTGTATGTATAAAGATTTATGGTCCTCTCCCTCTCCCTCTGTTACGTGTTATCACCGAACTCTAACTTGCTCCACTGTCGGGCTGTTACTGATGGTGGAAGCGATTTGGCAGATCCTTTTGTGGACGAACATTTCCGCTGCTCTTTCTCTTCCTCTATTCTGGCGTTATCACCAAGCTCCGATCAGATCGACCGTCTTGTCAGATAGCGCTGTGAGAGGCAAATTTACGCATGGGCTGGAAAGTGATGTCCGATAATATAGATCTGTCCGGTTATCTGATTAGTTCGCGAAATGTTCCTATATTTTTCGTTAAATTACTTATTTGTTGAACTATTTTCACTATTTGTACTTTCTCAAAAAAATTGCTGAATAAATTCTCCGTCGCCGTCGTATGTCACATGACATACTGCACATCATATTTCCATTGGTCCATTTTGAGAAATATGCGTTTGAAAACTTCCCCATTTTCGTTACATGGCTCATTCTTGATTTCGTAATGTGACCACCGACGAACCCACATTCCACAGAAGCATTTTGTTTATCAACAATTATATTTGTCAATCGAGCGATTCGAACTATCGACCGGGCGATCAGATCTGTCAAACGAGATGAGACACAAACCAAGGCAATGTAAATTCTACGTGTGTTTGTGTTTTTGCTTATGATATGACGGGATTGGATGAGTAGATGGCGGTAGTGTTAAACGTATTTTAAGTATGGAAAAATTGTCCTAAAACACGGGAATCATCCGAATTTCATGCAGCATTAACCAAACTAGATTTTGACTATATGGACATTTATTATGTGTGAGAGAAGTACATTTAGAGCAACTGAATCCGAGACAAAGGAGCAACCGACGCTCGAGGAATTACTTTATGCATAATTCTGAAGACCTTATCATTAACTAAGAGGATTTTTTTTTGGGTAGCAGATCGCATCATTGGATAAATATTTAAACCAGCTTACATTACATAATACAATGATTCCTAAAAACGCCGGCTGAGCGTATTATTTGGCTTACCCTACCCACTAGCAAAAATACCCCTTCCGTGACATTTATGAGAGGTCGTAGAGTTCTTTGCATATTTCTTAAGTAAGTATCGGACTAACAGTCTTTTCCCATCCCTACCAGTGGCAAGGGCGTGGCCAGGACAGTTTCATCTGTTGGTAAAAGGCACATCCTCAATCTAAGTCTAAGATTCTAAGAGATAATGGTTAACACTCCGAACACGATGCCTCCGGTAAAATGTGTAACGGCAGATTGACAATGTTTTAAAAATCACTGCTCAGCAATTTATCGACAGGTTGAAATTTTTCTACAGCGTTTTTTTTTTCGTGCTGCAATTTTATGTGGGACACTCTTTATTCTAGGCGCCAGAAACACCAATGTTGCCTGCTGAACAGTTGATTGAGCATCATCATAAGAAATTAGTAGCGGCGCCGGTGGTGCAGTGGTAAGCGTGATTACCTCTCACCCCAGCAGGCCTGGGTTCAATCCCAGTTGGTGTCACCGGGATGTTCTGAGGCATAACAGGGAAGTAAAGCCGTTGGTCTCCGGTTTATGAGTTGATGGGTCGATAGGTAGGGTCCAGGTGTGGGAGTTGCCTCCCTGGCGTCGGTAGATTGGTGCTCAGCACGGAAAACAAGATCGATGGAAAGCAAATCAAGAAGAAAAAAAATAAAAATAAGAAGAAAGCAGTGACTTGAATCATTAAAAACTTTTGTTCCTTACAATTAAAAAGTGGTGTTTAACAAAGTTGTAGCTGAGAACAATTTCTACAAACACAACTATCATTTTTTGTAACAGAGCGATATGATGCATTGTTAGATATATATGAACAAAAAAAATGGTTTTTCCCATAGTAAGTTCCATACAAACTTCAAATGGTTTGTGCCAAGTCAGTTTCTTACTAAATGAGTTCAAATTTTGAAAGGCTAATCAAGCCCCAATTTCAAACCGCATGAGCACTGTGGAGCGAAATTTTCAAATTTTGCATCAGTCTAGTGGCCAGTGTTGGCAAAATCATCAATTAAATGATATTTGTCCGCTCTCATACGCTCTCAATATCACGCGTGATATTGGAACAAAAAATCATGCTTGGTATTGATTTTGCAAGCTCTTTCGATATTGCGAGACTATTCACAACATGCAAAAATCAAGCTGAGAGTTGACTCGATACAAAAATGATTCCGTTGCACATCGTTTTCTTAGAAGGAGAAAGTATAGTTTGCTATCTCTTTTTACTCTTCACCGATGGCAGACACGAAGTGACTGCTGCCAGCCGTTATGAAAGTTTCAGTTGTGTTCGATCATGAAACTCAATCTCACCAAAGTTTGTTGAGATTTGCAGCTGGTGAGTTTTTTAGCTTGATATTCCGAGCTGCAATATCACAGCTTGCAAAATCAACCACAGTTGTTTGCTTGTTGATTTTCGGCTACGAAAATCAAGCGTGATCTTGTTCATTGGTGAGATTTGATATTATGATATTTTTCCCAACACTACTAGTGGCTAATCCCAAACTTCTATCTGGCAGTAACGAATAAAGGTGGGTCTGCTTCTTAACAACAGTTTGGAGTTAGTAC